ATTGTTATGAGACATATTAGATAATCCATGTTAAGGTTTTTGCACAATGCCTAACACATAGGAAGCACTTAATAAATAGAAGCTCCCTAATTATCTATAATAATAAAAGCATAATATGCTAATTAGACCAGACAGCTGAACAACCTTCCGGACATCATTCCAGATGTCCTTCTGGATGAAGCCACAACAGTAGGGACTAAGGCAGAGGCAGTTAGGGGTGATCAGGCAGGCTGGCGAGCAGTTAGGGGCACCAGGCAGGCAGGCAGAGGCGGTTAGGGGTGATCAGGCAGGCTGGTGAATGGTTAAAGGTGATCAGGTAGGCAGGCAGGTGAGTGGTTAGGAGTCAGCAGTCCTGGATTGTGAGAGGGATGTCCAACTGCTGGTTTAGGCCTGATACAGGCCAGGCTGAGGGACACCCCCCCTCTGCCCCTCCCCCATGCATTAATTTCGTGCACCAGGCCTCTAGTTATCTATATAAAAATAAATGAATTGACTAAATGGTCTTCAGCATCTGCAGCTACTAACGTCTCCTCTAGCCTCAATTCTGTATTTTTCACAGCCTCCCCAACTTTGACATCTCTCTTCAGGTTCAGCCTCCACCTGTGACCCAGGTAGAAAGAACAAAGAAGAAATAAGATGACAGTGAGGCAATAGAGTGTAAAGATGTGGTGATGCGGACACGGGAAGAAGGATTAGGGCTCAGTCCTCCTACAACCGCCCTGAGACTGTTGGATATTGAGCCCAAGCACTTGGCCCCCACGGGATACAGGATGAATGTGTTTGTTATAGGGAGCGTGGTCAATCCCCCTGGCTCATTTTTTACCTTTAATGAATAGAACACAGAAACTATCAGACTGCTTGTGCCTGGTGAATGGAATAATATGCATGAATGAGTTTTGTAAACAGCGCAGGTCAAATGTTGCTGTTTCTGCTGCTGTTGCTATAACTGATAAACGCCTTCTTAAAAAACCCAAAGGATATGGGCTCTTTACCTACTTTCTTTAAGCTGGCACTGCTGTTTGGATTAAATTTACTATTAGGCATGAGGAATGTCTATCTTATCTACAGCTTCTCAAAGAAAAAGAATCCTTCCCAAAGGCTGTATAAACTAGAGATTAGTAATACAAGTTCTCAGGTTTCTGGATTCAGTTCCTTGATTTGCCACTTTCTGGTTATGTGTGCCTTGGGCAAGAAAGTTGCTTTAACTTCAAGCTTCAATTACCCCTTCTTTAAAATGGGAATAATGCCCTGGCTGATGCGCTCAGTGGTTAGAGCATCAGACTGCACACAGAAGGGCTACAAGTTTGATGCCCCTTCAAGGGCATGTACCTGGGTTGCAGGTTCAATTCCCTGACCATGGTCGGGACGCATCTGGGAGGTAACCAATTGATGTGTGTCTCTCACTCGATGTTTCACTCTCTCTCTCTCTCCTCTCCTTTTCCTCTTCCCTCCTCCCTTCCACTCCCTCTGAAAATCATTGGGGGGAAAATATCCTCAAATGAGGATTAACAAAAAATAAAATAGGGATAATGATTATATGTACACAAAAGGATGCTGTGAAAATTAAAGGCAGTGATGAATAATTTAAGACTTTGGCCTAGTGCCTGGAATGGAGGTATCCTGTAAGTGTTGGCTATTACCATTATTAAAATAATAGAAGAAATAATATAGACAGTGTTATCTACAAATATAGGTAATATTTTCTATCTCTAACAAAGTCCTCATCAAAAGGATGAGTAGTGGAGGAAAGTGGCAAAGAAAAGGATGCCATGAAGCAAGTCCTCTACATTGAATCTGTGTATTATGGCCATTTCTCAAAATCCTCCAGCCTGTGGAGGCTGCTGCAACACCCCCAGCCCCTGGGATCGAAAATTCAATTTAAAATTAGTCCAAGCATCATACTAATGCTTCTATTTGAAGTGTTGTAACCAGAGCTTTCCTATTACTGATCCTAGAAAGAAAGGAAGTACTGAGTAGTCAGGACCTCCTACTGGAGGACTGAATACTCCACGTGGTTGTAAGGAGATATGTGGTCATACTAAAGCCTAAATCTGGGCAGTGCCAGGAAGCCTGCAGAGATGTATCAGACCTACTCTGTTCATTCACCCTCCAAGGTGGCATCTCTTCAGTGAGCAATGGGGTTTTTTAATAGGAACATTTGAAATATAAGAGTCAAGGAAATAATTAGATCAATATTGTCTATACCAGGGGCTGGAAAATATTCTCTGTTTGCAACAGATAGTAAATATTTTAGGTGTTGTGAAACCAGATAGTCTCTTTTCTGCCCACTCAGCTCTGCGGTTGTAGTGTGAAAGCAGCCGTAGACAACATGTAAGTGAATGGGCGCAGCCGTGTGCCAGTAACTCTTGATTTACAAAACAGGTGGCTGGCTCGATTGGTCTGTGGGGCATAGTTTGCTGAGCCTTAGTCTATACAAGGGACTTAATGCAATGACTCAAGTTGTCAAAATGACCCGGGCTAAAGCTCAGATAAATCAAACATGATGTCAAAGTGTGTGTTGCCTAGAGATTAGCTGACCTAACACACGGAACTTCAGAAACAAAAATGAAGAGAGAGACAATAAAATGCTTAAGTTGAAATGGACAAACTTAGCTTCTGTAGAAGAAAATAAGAGTAACATGGAAAAAAAATTACAACATAAATGACTCAGTAATTCACATTGGAAACTGGGTAGGGCTCTGAATTCACAGCCTTATTTTTCTGTATTCTAAGGCAGCAATCTTCAATCATTGTGCCACAGCATTTTTAAAACATGTAATATCTGACTATTTAGTCAGGGGCACTGACCTCTTTTCCCTTAGATTATTAAATTTAAAAAAAAAATGACATCGGCCAAAAAAACAATAGCCATCCAGTGTGAATGAATCAAAATATTTTTATCATTTCAGCAATATTATATATATATATATATATATATATATATATATATATATATATAATGTGCTGCAGAATTTCAGTGATTAATTTGTGTGTCATGAGATGAAAAAGGTTCTAATGTTCACAACATGATTAATAACTCAGCAAACACACATTTCTGTTAGCTAGTGTGCCCCAGATATTCCTGTGTAATTATCAATAGTAATGCTTTTTAAAGAAGTGGTTATGGTTCAGTGGTTGAGCATCGACCTATGAACCTGGAAGTCACAGTTCAATTCTAGGTCAGGGCACATGCCTGGGTTGTGGACTTGATCCCCAGTGGGGGGCATGCAGGAGGCAGCCAATGGTTCTCTCTCATCATTGATGTTTCTATCTTGCTCTACCTCTTTCTCCTCTCTGAAATCAATAAAAATAAAATTTTTAAATGGCCCTTTCTAACCAATTTGAAAGGGCATTGTACTAAGTCCAGTGATACATTCCACTTATTATTTAAGTATAAATCTCAGATAAATACAAATGTAAACCTTAAGTGAGTATATTCAATATTAGGGTTGTTTTGTAATCTGGAGCATCACAATTACCTTGGGCGTAGGCGGTTGATTCTTTCTAGCGTTTGCTTCTGTTTTGTGTTGAGCCCATTTGTCTGCTTTCTGTAAAATGTCTAGCTGACTCTCTCTGTGTGGGCGCTCTGTGAAGAGTTCAGTATCCCATTAATTCTGAACAATTCACATACAAATAGGTAGTTTAACCTCACATATTTCCCCAAGGCCTGCAGAGGTTGGCGCAAATATAAACAGACTTGGAAGAGCTGGTGAAATTTTTATCTGAGACTTTAAAGAAATTCTTTTCTCTCTGGGACTTTCTGACAGTGGCTGTAATCCAGCTCAAGTGTTTCAGCTCTGTGTATACTTGTATCTTCCCTCCTTGATTCAAGCTCTCTGACATCCCTGGCTGTTGGAATTGCACACCACATAGATACACAGGGTGGCTGATGCTAGCCGATCGGGTTGCATCAATTGCTTCTTAGATCCCTTTTCTGATTCTATTATTCTGTGACTGCTGAGCAGCCCATTGTTATTGTTTTTTTTCCATTAGAAGCTCATACAGAGACATTTTTAGAGAACATACTGTTTTGAATGAATTAAGATAAAAATTAAAGCAAAAATACTTTTAAGGGGAAAGATAACATGAAGTGTGACAGAAATATACTAGTAATTTTGTGTTAATAATGGCAACCAATATTTCTCAAGCATCTACTATGTTCCAAGCACTGTATGTATTGCATAATTATGATGATGATGGTGATGATGATGCCAGAAATAGCAGCTATATGTTCAGGACTTATGACCACACAAATGAGGGAGGCATGGACCCTGCCCTCCTAAAAACTTATGAGCCAGCAGGAAAAGCAGACATTGAACCAATAATTTCAAGTGTTAGCTACTCTGTGGAATTTCAGGGTACAGTGAGAGTCAGGCAGACTTCTCTGAAGAGTGACTTTAAGGACTAGCTACACAAAGGGAAAGTAGGATTAAGTTCCTATGGCATCTTGCCAGCGTTATAATGAAATGATATTGAATGAAATAGTACCCTTTGAGGACCTATTGTATAGCATAAAGGCAGATGAACATAAAAGAGATACAGTCAACTGCTTTGGATCAGATACACAGTATTCCAAAGTTTTAAGTTGGTCTTTGTCTAGTTCTAACCAAGGAGGAGCACAATTTATTACCTTAACCACGTAGTATTTTTGTCTGATATGCAGTTCATAATAACTAGATTTTTTTTCTACATGCCAGTTTATACAACTTCTAAAAAATTTTCATGAGTTCTCAATATAAAGCAGAAAATTGTTTTTGTATTTTCTGTTTATTGTTTCCATCTCTTTGCTTCTGAAGGTAGGACAATTACTGATGTGAAAGCTGGGATACGAATGAGCATCTCCCTCCTATGTGTGCATATTTCCATATGCATATGTATGCCTGTGTGTATGGGCATAAAATTCTACATTATTAGATTTCAAAGAGTGATGGGAAAAGAGAATTTTGAAAACAATTCTAAGACGCATTTATATTAAAGACATTTCTCTTTCTCCTTCCTAGCTCCATCATCCATCCCAGGGCTTCCGCTTTGGAACTGTCCGGGAAAGCAGTGCTGAAGATTATGTGAGGCAAAGCTTCCCCGAAATGCATGAGTACATGAGAAGGTACAATGTACCAGCCACCCCCGATGGCGTGGAGTATCTGAAGTGAGTGTCAGCCTCTTGGGGCCAAAACGTTCTCACTGAGGCAGTGTTTTGTTGTTGTGGTTGTTGTTTTAAATGACAGTTCAATATACCCACTGGGTGTTCAGTAATACCTCACACTGTGTGAGATCCAGGAGACAGTATGGAACAGTTTGCATTTAATTATGGGGACTAAGATTACTACTTACCTGCCTAGTCCCAAGTTAGCTCAGAGTGCCAGTAGGGTCATTAGTGGAGCAGATGGTGGAGGAAGCAAATGTTGGCTTGACTTCACTTGAGAAAACAATGGTGCAGAAATTATAAAACACTCAGAGAATGTGGCCAGAAGATAAAGTGTCCCAAAGTACCCATTTCCTTCACAGTGAATCTCTAAGCCCATGGGCTCTCTCCTCTTTTCACAAGGAAGAAGGATGTATCCTAGAGTTTTCCTGTAGATAGGAAGTAAGATAAAAAGCAATGATCCCGTGCCTGCATCCTTCCCATCAGAATCTGTGAGAAGCAATCAAGAGCAATGCCATTGCCAAGGCAGATTACTAGAGCCTGTAATTCAGTGAGGCAGAATGCAAAGGAGGGTGAGTAGGGATGGATCCGCTCATCTAGTCGGCCTGGAAGAGGGGAAGGAATGGCTCCCAACAAGGAGTCCTCTCCCTCCTGCCTAATGGTCCCAGGACAATGACAGATAGTCAATCCTCCAATCCCTAGAATTGCATAGCATCAGGAAACTGGTTTTTCTATGGTTGACCACAATAATCTTCCCAAATTCTTTCTCTTTTTAAGAAAAAAGGAAAGTAAATAACTTCATGGGACAGAATGGCTGGCTCTGTGTTTCTCAAGACCCCTAGTAATAGGCCTCTAAAATAATCTTATGGACTTAATTTTTTTTAATATTTTATTGATTTTTTTATAGAGAGGAAAGGAAAGGGATAGAGAGTTAGAAACATCAGTGACAGAGAAACATCGATCAGCTGCCTCCTGCACACCCTCTACTGAGGAGGTGCCTGCAACCAAAGTGCACGCCCTTGATCTGAATCAAACCTGGGACCCTTCAGTCCACAGGCCGACGCTCTATCCACTGAGCCAAACTGGGCAGGGCAATCTTATGGACTTTAAACTAGAGTCTAGAGAGGAAGCCCAGTGCTCTCAAATTTGTATTGTTATATATGATGCTCAAATACTATGAAATGGTACTTTTAATTTTGCAAAAACAGTAGAGTCTGTCTAAGGCACAGAATTAAGTGCTTCCTGGCCTCCCTGTTCCTCTTCTGTATTCCATTCTTTGGGCAAACTTGTGGCTGAGAGAGAGAATAAGATGCCAGGGAGATAATAGTGGCTTCCAGCTAGGTATCACTGGCTGACAAACCAGGTTCTCCTGGCACAAACGGGTGTGATGGGCCACTGGTGCTCTCCCCAGCTCCACCTCACTCAGGGCATTCATTTATTCTGGAAGCTTCGCCTGAGAAGGCCCCAGTGCTCAGAGTTGACTCCACTCCAGCCTGGAGAGAAAAAATAGGTAGAAAAGCAGGTGTATATGAAGAAATTGAAGCCCAGAATGAGCAGCTTTCCCATGGTAATAGCAAGTGGCAGTCTCAGGACTAGAATCACGTCTCTGGAATCCAGCCACTACTGTAGGCTGGTTTAGGAACCATAACAGAGAAGTAGGTCCTGGATGCTCAAAGAGTAGTCCGTGTTCCAGCAGCATCCGTGTTCCATTAGCACCTGGGGGATGTGAGAAATGCACGACCTCAGGACCCAGCCCAGAATCTGCTGGACAGTCTCAGAGTCCAAGACTGTCTTTCTCTTTAACAAGCTCCTGCAGTGACTCACTGATTGAAGTAAAATTGGGCTTCTAATATCTGGGCTTCTGTCTCCACTGTGGCCTAGTCACTGCCTAAGCTCTGAGCCACCACTCCAAGCAACTACAGTCCTCATGTTACCTCCTGATATCCCAGAGCCCTGGCCTGCAAGGCACAACCCATGGAATCCTCTGTACAAGAAAGGTTCCTCCTGTGTTAAACCTGTCCCTCCCTCTCTTATCAAAATTCCCCTGGGCTTAGTCCTACTCACTGAGGGCCCTGCTTTCTGAGATGATGCTTTTCTAAGAAAGTAATCCCTATTTCAAGTGTCTATTTCTCTTAGTATGTTTATATATGACTGTTTTGTGTTTTATGTATTATGAAATGAATGTTCAAAAAGAGCACGAGTCTATAATGAGAGAAACAACTAGAGACTCTACCAACAATAAGGATGATCCAGCCACACTAGAAGCTGCTTATCCCCGCCTCACACCTAACCACTTCCTCACCAGTGGCTCAGGGCCCCATGAGAGTCTGTGAACTGATTGCTTCTTGCCTCCCTATGTAATAGAGACCTGTCATAGCTAGCCATACTTTGCAGTCTGAAATCAGTAATTATTTAAGGATACCACTGAGAACGGACCTCATGAATTACTTGTTAGGAAAACTGAACCCCAATTTTTATTGCAACTGTAAATGTTTGCAGAGTATTGGTAAATGGTTGCTCTGTGGCTCCCAAGGTAAATTCTGCTAACATAGTGGTAAAACTTTGGAGAAATGACTTTCAATTCCACTTTTTTATTTTATTGCCAAGATTCCATTACAGATCCTCATCATCAGTTCCTAGGAGAACCCTTTTTGGCACTTCCCACCGCTGTAGAGCTAGAGGTGTTCTTCATTTGGGGTAAAGTTAAACATGGGCCTCACTGTAACTTAAATCCAACACCCCGAGGACAAGGGGATGGGTTGTGAATTGATGATTTTACTTCCTGGAAAAGTAAAAGGAGGAAGCAATGGTCATTGGCACCAAGAAGGAACTTGGCCTACTTAACATCTGTCCATGTGTGCCCCAAACAAGGCCATCTGTGTAAAGATGTACATCCTGCCCAATGATGAATCTTAGAGTCTAGGACTGTCTCTCTCTTTCTCTTGATGGTCCCTGGCCATGTTCTCTGTATTGAATTCCAACAGCCTCATTTTTGGCTCTAAATGAGAAATGAGTCAGCCCAGATGGGGCAGAGATGAGTTGTTTTTGCCCAGCTGTTTGGACAACCTTGGGAGTCAGAAAGTCTTCCTTAGATGGATATATGTCCACATCTTTCCAAAAAGGATATGGAGACTGAAAACAAGAGTCATTGCATACAACGTAACAGTTCTCTTGGAAACTCCCTTTTCCTCACTCCCCAACCCCCACCTTTGTAAGTGGTAGCTCCCCTGGACTAATTCTGTGCCTGAGTCCAAAAAATGGGGAGAACACATAAAGGATGCACAAAGCATCTGTTGGCATCTTAATCCCAGCCGATGGCCGATTCACTGATGCTCTCTAGGGACACCTGCTTAAATGATTCTTGCCAGAACTGCTTCCTGGAATGAGAGACATGAATCTTTGGAGATAAATTAATAAACCAGATTACTGATATCTATCACAGATTATTCCCTTGCATTTTTTGAAAGCTAGTCTATAGACTTTAAAGAGACCTTAACTCCCTTTCCCCCAGGAATGCTAGATCTCATATTTGCATTTCATTTTATCTCCTCCTAAATGTGGAATAATGCCTGGTGTCTGAAAAATATGATAGTGATCATGACAGGAAGAAATGAGAATATCCACATGCTGATAATGAGCCCACCTAGCTCCAACACTTACTCGCTGTGTAACTGGGATCAAGTTACTTTGACTCTCTGAGCCTCGATGTCCTCATCTGTTAAAGTGGGATAGTACCACCCACTCGTGATTTCACGGGAGTGATGAAATGTATGGAGAAGAATAAACACAATGCCTAGCACAAAGGAATTCCTCAGTCAGTGAAAGAGAACTGAACCTTCTCATTCCTTTCAGAGTCACTCTGGCTCTTTTGTTGGCTCTAGAAGTAATAAAGGACTGATGGATAGACCCGTTGGAAAGAGGTCATGCTCTCTCATAAGAGAGGCTCTTTCCCCTGGTCTCTTCTCTGTGGGTCAGTGAGGTGCCAACAAGGCCGAGCCAGCAGCTCGTAGCTTGTGCTGCCCTTTGTGTCCAGGTTTCTGTCCCCTGAACAAAAGCCAGCCGACAACCTTGGTGCTTCCTGTTCATTAAGGAATCATTTTTCATTTTTCTTCTCTTGGTCTTAAATGTAGGAATGATCCCGAGAAACTAGACGCCTTCATCATGGACAAAGCCCTCCTGGACTATGAAGTGTCAATAGATGCTGACTGCAAGCTTCTTACTGTGGGGAAACCATTTGCCATAGAAGGTATTAATCAGTCACTCTCAATTCACTCTTACTCAGGATGTGCTCGTTTTGCCAACCTAGCAAGTCACAAATGCCAAAGCCAGAGGCAAAATGCTATTCATCTTCCCTTGTGTTCATTTTCAACGCATAAGCACTTAGCTATTAAGTTGCTGAAGTTAGGAATTTATTTTTCACCTACTCCACAAACATGTATTTACCCACTGTTAGGAAGAGGGGGGGGGGTGGAGAAAAGGTTGTTGTTGCTCAAATGATGTTGATGCAGATATCTGGGAGTGATAGCATAGTGTCATAAATGGGGAATCCAATTTTAAATTCATCTTTATTTTCTAATGGCCAGATCCTGTGTTGAACCTGATGCAATAAACTAGAATGATTACATTTTACCACTGGAAGGACCCCAGTGTTGAGCTAACCTAATATATGTCATACACAAGAAAGCCTAGGGATGTTACATCACCTTTTCATCATCACACAGTTAGGTGATAATACTGGAATTAGAATCCCAACCTCGTGGTTTTTAAGTAAATGTTTTTTTCTACTAGTTGGAAAATAAGTAGAAAAAAATATATCATTCTGTAGCTTATTATAGTAACCTTTAAGAGTACTAACAAAACCTTGTTTGGGACCTCAGGTTTGCCTCTCTCCCCACTGGCAGCAAACTTTTGCTTCCAAGTTGATCAACCCATCAATCAAACTCTAGGGCCAAAGAAAGATTGCTTTGTCAGTAGCTCCTTTCATTCTGGACAACGGTTGATATATGGAACTGGCAGTTTGAACCAGCAAATTTTATGTCTCCCAGCGCCCAGCTTCTCTCCCCTGACAGTACACCCTGACCCTCAAGACAGCCATGTTCACTCGTCAGAAAACACTTCAACTTGAAACAGTCCCAGAGCAAGTGTCCAAGTCCTGTTTCTATAAAACTGTACTTTCCTGTATGTTAACTAGTGCAGCGAGTCTATTCTGATTCCAGTTTTCCAACTACAGTTGGTCCCTGTCTCCCCGAAACACATCAGCAAATTTTGTACTTGAGTCTTTGCTTTTGTGATGAATGAGAATGTAACAGCTGATGCTATTTCTTCATACCTTCTTCTCAGAAAAAAATCAATCTCCTCTCCAGGCAGTGACCTTCACCTGAACCAGGAATAGAATTCAGGAAGAGAGAGATTACATGATAGTGGTCTTCTATTAAGGCTGCCATCTGAGCCCGAATGGTGTAGCTCAGTGGTTGAGCACCGATCTATGAACCACGAGGTCATGGTTCGATTCCTGGTCAGGGCACATGCCCAGATTGTAGGCTTGATCCCCCGTGTGAGGTGTGCAGGGAGCAGCCAATCAATGATTCTTTCTTATCATTGATGTTTCTATTTCTCTCTTCCTCTCCTTCCATCTCTGAAATCAATAATATATATTTTATAAAAAAAAAAAGTCTGCAGTCTGAGATAGCAAAGTCACAAAAAGAAAAGAAAAAGAAGAAAGTTTAAAAACCCAAAGAACATTTATTATATAACCCTATTTTGGTGTAACAGTGGAAAATTCCCATGTTTTTGTGTGAAATCTGCAGATATAGAAGGCATGTTACTTTTTTTCTGTCCTAGATTCACTGGGTAATTGAGGTCCCTTCTGCCATTAGCAGCTACTCAACAATGAATCATTGACTCGGGGCATGAGAATGAGGGACTCCACTTCCCACCTTTGTCCTCAGAAAACAACCCTGTCTTGTCAAAAGGCTGTGGTGAGATGGCTTGTTTGCCTCTGCTGGACCCTAGCACCAGATACCACACAATTAACTCCCGCTGACTCCCTGTTGACATTCCCATCTGTGTGCCTGGGACTTCTCGTCTTGCCATTCTCATCATCTCCAGACACCACGTTGTCTTCAAAGGGGATAAGCACAAAAATGGCCCATGAAAGAGCTCTCCCTGAAAGAGAGCAGAAAGGCTACAGACTTGAGCAGAGAGAGCATTCTCATCATCGTTGTTGGTTTATTCTGGGGAGTGGTGGGAAGAGGGCGGAGAACTATTGCTGATTTACTCTGGGTGAGGTGCAAATCAGAACATTTAATTCAGCCGAACCCGGTTTGGCTCCATGGACAGAGCGTCGGCTTGGGGACAGAAAGGTCCCGGGTTTGATTCCGGTCAAGGGCATGTACCTTGGTTGCGGGCATATCCCCAGTAGGGGGAGTGCAAGAGGCAGCTCATCAATGACTCTCTCTCATTGATGTTTCTAACTCTCTCTCTCTCTCCCTTCCTCTCTGTACAAAATCAATAAAATATAGTTTTAAAAAGAAAGAAAGAAAACTTAATTCAGTACTGCCCCTGGCAACAAGTTCACAACCTAAAAACAGAACTTGGCAAAACACAAAGAGAAGTTACTTCTAAGTTATAAACAGCAATGTGATGAAGATACTAGGGAAAGGCTTGATTGCTGCTCTTTGAAAAAGTATATTAATTTATAGATTTTTAGGAAACATTTCTCTCTCTTTCTCCCCCCCCCTCTCTCTGTCTCTCTTATATCTTCATTGCTGAAAGTATTATAAATGCCCCCTTCTTTTCCCCTATTGATCCTCCTCCATGCCATACCCCCTACCCCAGGCCTACTGCAGGGAATCTTTCTCTCTTAATGAAATTTTAAAAAATATCTCTCGCTTTCCTTTAACAACATTTAGGTTTCTGGAACTTACGAAAATGTAGACTTTATTACTAATTCATTAGACTTTATTGGCATAAAAATATCATCAAAGCAATTTATGAACAATTTTTACTTACAGGACTGTTGCATGTGTCTGGTTCCTGTCACAGGATCGAGGCATATAACAGTTTTGTGATAAGTGATGTATCACCCGTTACATAACTCATTAGGTTAGATTTGAAATAAGTACCATACTTAATTCAGTCGCTAACGTAGTCATCAAAAGCACCCTGGTGTTCTGCATATACTTTTCCAGGTGCTTAAACGACTTTGGGAACTTAGGGGGAAAACGGAGTACATTGATTCCTTCACACTCAATTGTACATTCACTCTGTGTAGTGCTGATATCACACCACTCACTGCGACTACTGAATACACCCCCACCTTCGCCACTCTACCTTTATTTAGGCTTGAAAATAAAAGGTGAGGCAAGTGAGAGAGACAGTGGCTCCACGCTGAGATTGAAACCTTTTCGTGAGCACTTAGCTCAGCAACCCAAAACTATTAGGAATTTAAGAACATGTGGAAGACCTTTGGTCATTTTAAATACTACATACACCAGAGAAAACGCAGACATAATGTGTGCTCTGAGGGTTGGGGAAAGGGAAAGAAAGTGTTGAGATAAAGGAATACATGTCCCAAATTTATGCATTGGAGTTAGCTGACAATAAAGGTCAAAAAAGAAATGGAACTGCACAGTAATGATTTGTGACCTTTCTGCCAAAGACCTTTGTCCATTTTTGAGTTTGTTCTCTTACTTGTTTTCCACTAATTATTGAATACAGCGCTTGGAGCACCAGCTGTGAGTCTGAGTGCTTGGGTTAGAGCAGAGTTGCTGTTACTACTGTGCTACATGGGGCAGGTCTCTTAATCAGGTTTCAGGTTCCTCATCTGCAGAATGGGTTTGTGAATAATATATCTATGATAGGGTTGTAAAGATTAAGTAAAATAAGATGTGTAAAGTATGTACAAGCACATAGTAAGTGCCTAATTATTCTTCAATATGTTGAATTAAGAGATTAAGACCAATTCATATAAAATTGTCTCAGGATAGATAGCCTTCAGCTTCTCCCACACACTTCTCTCACCAATATGATATGCTGGGATAAAGGAAACTCATTTTTAGTGTCATCTTTACAGTTGAGATTATTTCAATACGTTCTCAGCCATTGCCCCAGAGTAGCTACAAGTAAATATGGTATTCCAAGGACTGGCTGCAAAACTGAATTAGTCTTTCTTACTAGAGCCTTTTTTTTTAATGCTACCTGAAATCTTATTTTCAAAATATCTGTTTTCCAACCACATTTCAGGAAGTTCTCTTAGTCCATGAATTTTTAACTATACATTTCCTAGCCAAAATACAATATATTTTCACCACTCTTAGACTGAGTAAAGCTGATTTATCCATGAGGAAAAGATCAGGATTCTATTCTGAAAATTGTTCTCTTGGGCTATTAAGCTGTATGCAATTTCCAGGGTGTCTGATGCCTTCATCTTTAGGGTTGAAGGATTCCATTTTGCTTCACCCATCAGCCACAAAGTAGTCAGCCTCGTCTTTATTGCAAAGCCATGTTTCTAATGATAATGAAAGCAGCTCAGGCTGCTAAGTTGAGTCAGCAATTTAAAAATAAGAACTCTTTGACCAGTGAACACGTCAAATTCGAAAAGTAACTGATAAAGAGAAGGATGGGGATGAAACCTTCTAACTTTTACTATTTTTTATATATATTTTTATTGATTTTCTTACAGGAGGAAGGGAGAGGGATAGAGAGCTAGAAACATCAATGAGAGAGAAACATCTACCAGCTGCCTCTTGCACACCCCCCTACTGGGGATGTGCCCGCAACCAAGGTAGATGCCCTTGACCAGAATCAAACCTGGGGCCCTTCAGTCCACAGACCGACGCTCTATCCACTGAGCCAAACTGGTTTTGGCTAACTTTTACCATTTTTTGTTTCTGAATAAAATGGAACTTTATGTCTTTTAACAAATACCTCTTCTCATTGCCATGTAACTTTTTTCTTATTTCTCCCTGGATAGTTTGTTTTAATAATCTAATAACTATTATTGTTAAAAATCATTAAAATGACAATATTCAATATATGCAGTAGAACAGAAAATTAAAAAGGACAGTAATCTATTTTTAGCAATTGCAACTTAACTTTGACATGATGGAGTGGAGTGATTTAAAATTTATTATTTCCTATGTAGCAATTTCTTATAAATGTCTCTGAAACTTCAACATAGCTTTCGCCCTGGGGCAATTTTTTATACTTTTGTGGTAGTGCCAAAATTCTTTTCTTAGAATATGCAGATTTATTACAAGTATTAACTTCAGATTTTTAAACTGTCTTATCGTGTATTTTTGTCACATCTTCCCAAAAATACCACTGTAAGAATCAGTCTCAGATGCCTTCTCTCATCCTCTCATATGGCAGCAATCTATTATTCATCTGAACTCCACAGACTTTTATCCATTCTCCTCCTTGCATCCTCGTCATTGTATTTCACCCATATTGAATTTATGCCTCACCTATCTTTTTTCCCTAGAAAAGCGCTGTGACTTCCCACCATGTTGTATAGTTATGTGTGTGTGTCTCATCTCCCCATGTCACCATGAGCTTCTGATGGCTAGAATGAGTATCTGATTGAACTTGGCAGCCTCTACAGCACTTGGTGGAGTGTCTGATACAGAATGAGCATTGACTGCATGTTTGTGGGATTAATAAATAGATGCGTAGGTGTACAACAAGCACTTATCAAGTGAAATATGAAAGCTATTCTACCATTGCTACACTAAGCTGGGCTGAGTAATTTAAGAGGGTTTGTAGGGGGAATAATAGAGGCAGGGAGCATCCTTGCTAGTTCATTTCCAATGTATAGCTCACATTTACATGGACAAAATATGCCCATCAATGATATGTATTCGTGTCTGCTGTTGAAAACAGACCGCCAGTTTAGATGACTGTGGTTTTGTACTGAACTACTGCTTAGTTCAACATGATTGTGGTGCTATGGCCTGCATGGAAGGGGAGGAAATAGCCCAGCATTCCCTTCACTTGGTCGCATGCTATGCTAGGTAAAGTGGACAGAGCACTGGCTTTAGACTCAAATAGACCTACTGTCATAGTTAGCTTTGCCAACTATGAGCTGTGTGACCTTGAACAGTTTAGTTATTCAGCCTTCAATATGTGAGGAATACATATTCTGCTTGGGTTCATAAATTAGACACAGAGTGTGGAACGGTGTCTGGCACACAGTAGGTGTCAGTATGTTCTAGTTTTTATAATTATAATCCCAGAGTGATTTCACTGAACTGTATGCTACACTTTAGTACACAGTCTTGGTCAGGTGCATGATCTGCAAAACAGGGTAAGGTTTGTAAAAGGTTTATTATAGAGCAGGACTTGGTATATAGTAAGCCCTCGATAAATACTATGAACATTTGTTGTTGTTGAAAACTATTGCCACAGGGGCTGACTATTATTGTATTTTTACAATATTTTTATGATATAATATCAATAGTTTGTAATATGTTGTGAGAAAATACAATAATATTCAGCAAACCAGGCCTAATTATCCTGACCATTAACCGGCTTCCACCAGAGAGTTTCAATTCCTCCTACTATATGTTTGTATATCCCTCAGTTCTTCATCCTCATACTAGGGGCCCAGCACGCGAAATTACACGAGACCCAAGACCCAGAGTCCTGCAGCTGCTGCTGCCATGGGAGGGGGGACCCAGAAAGCCACCAGCACCTCTGGTCAAGTCCTCCAGATTCAAGTCCCCTCCCACCTGCTTGCACCTGCTGCGCATGCAGCCTCCTGCTGATCAGTCATTACTGCGTGACGGCTTGATAACCACAGCCTTTTTATATAATAGATGTAATAAAATAATCATTGTGCAGTCATTGTTTAATATCTGTCTCCCTAATAGAGTGGATACACCGCAACTTCAGGGGCCATATCTGCCTCGCTCACTGCTAATAAATCCGGACCACTCAACCCAGTGCCTGTTCACTCAATGTATTTGTCCATTGAATGTATGAGTGAGTCAGTAGGTCAGTGAATATTATTATGCATGTCCTAGGATTGTGCCTGGCGTGTAAATAAGTATTGAGTGAATGTATGTGCAGCGGAACTGTCAATAGCATTCGTTATAAGAAATGTTTCTAAAGAAAACTGCTACATCCTTACAATTACTCATCACACACACACACAGAAAAATATATTATTTTATGATAACATCTGCAGAACAGGCTGCTCATGTGAAGCCTTTTATTCTCAGTCTCGCCTTTCTAACCAAAACCAAATACAAAACAGGCCCTCAAAATAGCTTTGTGTATGAAAAATTCTAATCATGCTCTTGACATTGTCAACATTTCCTTGACTTGCCGTTGTTAAGGAACAAACAAAATTACCAGGGAAAAGAAAACATATAGCTCTTCAAAACTCAGAAATCTTCTCTGCATTAGTTATGTCTTGTCTTTTATTGGTTATGTTCACATCTCAGGCCCCATCCTTTTTTTAAAGAAGGATTTGTGTAATTTATGTATCTGCGATAAAAATAGGAACAAAAACTAATCTACTTGGAAGTAAATTGTTAATACAATAATTTTGGCAGGTATTTGTCACTAGTAAATATCTTTGGACTCATGACAGCCTTTTAGTTTTTATCTGTGAAAAAGAAAGTAACTATATTTTAGTTTATTTTCCTTAATTATCTTGAGGGCAAATGTCTTTTTTAATAATAATAAAAAAAATCTGCTATTCAGTAGCTCAAGATAAAATGCAGGTAATTAGCTCTTCCACATGGCTCATCAAAGAGATTCACAGTGCAGTAAGAGTTTGGAAAGCAAATAAAGGCACACAGAGTGAGGATATAGGGTCCAAGCTGCTTAACCAAGCTGACACCAAATTCCCTCCACCTGTGTTCCTCCCGCATCCTTTCCCCTGACTCCCTTGCCTTCAGTAACTACTCTCCTGGATTTTTGGCTTATCATTTCCTTGATTTTTTTTGTAAACATACTTTAACCACATACATAGGAATTCCTAAAAATACATTGTTTTGTTTTGAATCTTCTACATGTACACAGGGGATTCATACTGTAATTTTCCGGAACTGACCCTTTTCACTCCGAATCTTTTTTTTTTTTTAATTTATCTTTATCAATTTTGGAGAGGAATGGATAGAGAGAGAGAGAGAGATAGAAACATCAGTGATGAGACAGAACCATTGATCAGCTGCCTCCTGCATTCTTGGGAATCAAGCCTGCAACCAGAGCATATGCCCCTACTGGGAATCGAACCATGATCTCCTGGTTTATAGGTTGATGCTCAACCACTGAGCTGCTGTGGCCAGACTCAGTCCATATCTTATTGCTAAGAGTCATCCATATTATTGCATATTGTTCTAATTAATATGTTTCACACTATACTATAATATTCCAATTGTGTAAATATTCCACAGTTTACAATATTAACCATTCTCTTGCCAAAGCACCTTTGGGTTGTTTGCAGTTTTTGCTGTTATGAACAGTAGCTCTCATAGCATATCTCCTGGTGTGCTTGTGGAAGACTTCTTTGAGAATGTACTTAAAACTGCTGGTCTTAGAGTATATAATTGTCCACCTACACAAAATTGAATGAGTATTTGAAACATCAAACTGTTTTCCAAAGGGATCATATCAATTTGCATGACCACGAATAATGTGTAAGTGATCTTTTTTATCTGTCTTCTCCCACACTTGGTATTACCAGACTCATTTTTTTTAATCATTGGAGTTAATTATAAGTTGCTATTGTTATTTTAGTTATGCTATCGCATATGTTTCAGGGTCTTACTGTTTAAAAATAAACAAAATAAAGGTAACAGAGCGCCGTGCATGACCAATGATGAGACTATGTCATAAGCCAAAGATTATAATTACAACCCACTTTTGTGTACTTCAGGTCCAATAGCAGGGATGGGGAACCTTTTTTCTGCCCAAGGCCATTTGGATACTTATAACATCCTTCCGCGTCCATACAAAATTAACAACTTGAAAATTAGCCTGCTATCTCCAGTCAAACAATTAACTCACCCCCATTGCCTCGGTAGGGCCAGGCCAAATGATTTTGCGGGCCTTCTACAGCCTGCAGGATGGATGTCCCCCTGGGACATATCTAGCAGAGGCAGATAGGAAACCCTAGCCCTGATAAAGACCTCAATGGTGGCTTCTAAGAATATCTTGAAAGGAAGCGCAGAGGCCTTGGGGAACAATGCACCACCTGTATACTTTGCACAGCCCATTCTTCTCCTTTCCAGACTCATCTACTATGAGGGGCAGCAGATCGAAGGTAATCATACCTCAGATACCTTTGAGTCTTTGGAAGGCAAGATGGTGATGGTTCACCTTACCCTTGTTACCAGGCCTAATGGCCACATCGGCAACCTCTTAGGAGCCTCTTAGGTGAAAATCTCATCTGAGACTACCTTTTCTCCTAGGATACGGCATCGGGCTGCCCCCCAACTCTCCGCTGACTTCCAATATATCTGAGCTGATCAGTCAATACAAGTCCCACGGGTTTATGGATGTGCTGCACGACAAGTGGTACAAGGTGGTTCCCTGTGGCAAGAGGAGTTTTGCTGTCACTGAGGTAAGGGACCACTGCGGATAACATTAACACTGTCTAGCTTTATCTTGAAGAATGGGGGGGGGGGGGGGGTTCAAACTGAGAACAACCAGTTCCCTTTTATAGATATGAAACGGATACCCAGAGATCTTAAGTGATTTGCCCAAGGCATACAGATCATCAGAACCTGCTTCTTTCATGGCAATGCTCTGCCTTTACAATGTAATTATAAAGAAACCTGCAAAGGGAGCCAGAAATTGGATGATTAAGATAGGAAACTAAAAGGTGAAATAAGAGCGCCTGAGAGCTCAGCTCAGGCATTTAAAAGGGAAGCCAAATAAACCAGCACAAGGTCAGCCTGACATTTAAAAGAAGAAAAAAAATCGAAAGCCAACGATAATGGCTTCAAATCGCTTGCATTCGTGTATCTGATTTCCTAGTTAACATATCCACTCGACTATCCTGAAGGCATCTCATATTTAACTTGTCAACAGCTGAATCCTTGATCTTCCTGCCCCAAAGTGCTCTTCCTTCCATGCTTCACATCTTGGCCATGGTACCTCTGTCCGTCCTGTTACTGTTTCCATAAACTGGCAGGTGTCCTTAATGCCCCCCACGTCTCACCTTCTATACCCATCAATAAGCCACATCTTTTGTTTCTATAAAATATGTCCCAAATATGCCAATTTCCACGGTCATCACTTTAGTCTCCAAGCCATTGTCCCTCACCTGGACCACGGTAAAAGTCTCCCCACTGGTCTCTCTGTTTTCACTCCTGCCTTTCTTCAATTAGTTCTCCACATGGATGATCACTGTTCTGCTTAGAAGCCTGCAGTGGCCTCGTGTTAATTAGGGAGCCATGTAAAGCATTGAGCGCGGCCTGCAGTGCCCTGTGGGATATGACCCTGCCTCATTCTTCAGCCTCATAGCATGCTTCTTTCTCTTGGATCATTACAGCCCCAGCACAGTAGTCGTTTTAGGCAGAGATACCCCAGTGGCTTCACTGCCTTCGGGTCTCTGCCCAGGCTGTTGCTTCCTCCTCCTTAAATACTCTTCCCCCTGACACTTACCCAGCTAATGCCTTCTCATTATAAACTCTCAGCTGAAATCTCCCTTCTTCAGAGCCTGCCATAGTTCCTTATTCCATCTGAATCATATCTTATATCTCACATTATTTCATAGCCCTCGGCATCATTTAAATTTTATTATTCATTAACATATATTTAATCAGGTTATTATATTAGTGTATTTCTCCTTCATTAGATTATAGGACCTCTGGGGGCAAACATGTTGTTTACTGTTGTGTTCTCAATGCCTGCTTCATAGATGGCACTCAGTAATTGTGGAATAAATGAAGCAGAGAAACCAAACACTATATATGAGAAGAAGTTGGGAAGCAGAAGTTCAGAACATAAAGCAAGTGTGATATTGGTAGTCTAGGATGCTGAATAATGTCCCCCCAAAGTTAATGTCTTCAGAATGTGACTCATTTGGAAATAGAGGGTTTTTTTGGGTTTTTTTTCAGAGATAATTATTTAAGACTAAAGGCCCAGTGCAAGGAGCTTGGCCCTCACGGCCCTGGCTGCTCCCAGCCCCACGCCCCCCCCACCCCACCCCCACTGGTCGTTCCGGAAGGTTGGTCCACCATCAGGTTTAATTAGCATATTAGCTCTTTATCATATAGGCTAAGATGAGGCAGTACTGAATTGGGTGGCCCCTAGACCCAGTGATGGTGTCCTTACAAGGCCATGTGTAGAGACATACAGGGAAGAAGCGCATGTGATGTCAGATGAGGTGGAGTGATGCAGCCATAAGCCAAGGGAGGTGATGGCTTAGCTGCAACCACCAGGAGCTAATTCTGCCTCAGAGTCTTCAGAAAGAACCAACTCTGCTGATATCTTCATTTCAGACTTGACTTTCTGAAATGTAAGAGGAAAAAAGTTTTGTTTTAAGTCACCCAGTTTGTGGTGATTTGTTATAGCAGCTTTAGGAACCTAATACTGGTAGATGATAGATAGGTAACTAGATAGATAGATAGATAGATAGATAGATAGATAGATGGATGATAGATAGATATTGATTTTACTTAAATAATAGAAATGTCTTTTCCTAACTCAGAAATCAAAAACCCCAAAAGAACAGTGAATAACTACAACTAGAAACTGAGACATACTAGTCAATGCCCTTGACAATTAAGTTTACCTCTATTGTTTTGGACAGCCATGACAAAAAAAAAAAAAGAAGAAGAATATAAGATGGGTTATAAAGCTGTTTAAAGAGAAAAAGAGATGGAAGTTAGTCTGTTTTTAGTACTAAATTCTAAAATAATTCTTTTTTTCATAACAGAATTGGCAATGTTTGCAAAATGCAAACAAAAAAAATTTCCCTGGCTAATTATTGTACTGATGCTTCATAGAAGTTGTGAGCAAAGATTTGAAGGAAGCAAAGGGGAAAATGGGAAATTAGAGAACTAATATGTCCTGTTCCTCACTACATAATAGAAACTGTACATAATAGAAACCAGCAATATTGACTCATTGGTTCTCACTACAAACCCAGAAGGCAGGCATTCTTGCCTTTATTGGAAGAGGTTCGCACGGCTTTCCAGAAAGAAATACTTGTGGGTTTACACTGATCAGCTGAGTTAATTCATCAAGAACGCAAATAAACCAGTTATGTAAATAGACAATCTATGGGTCTGGGCTGCCTATCACTACTTGAGCCAATTAAGCAGAGACAGGGTTGAATCATATATGAGTGTTTATTCCAATGCTGGCAGTATGGGAGAGCAGCAGGTCATCCACCAAAATCTGTTCTCCCTTCCTACCCCAACCCCCACTTAAGCCAGCTGCAATTTGAACAGACTGTCCAATCTCAGAAGGAAGTGAGGGGGACCCCTAAGAGATCAATCAAAGGACTTGAATGCATGCATATAAGCATAACCAATGGACACAGTCTATAGAGGAATGAGGGCCTGTGCTTGGGGGTGGGAGCAGGTGGGCTCTGTTGACTAATGAGTTTGCCGACCAGTGCCCTAGGCCAGTGTTTCCCAAACTTCTCTCATGATGAGAATCACCTGGTGGAGTTGTTAAACTACAGATTCCTGATTCCCAACTAAGAAGTGCTAAACTAGAATTTTTGGGAACATATAGGTAAAATCGTATACTTAACTAGTGCTCTAAGCTTAGCATTAGTTCAGTGTACATTGACGCTCACCTGTGTGCATTTAAACAACAATACATATCCTTGTGCACTGACTGGCACATTTGTCTGGAACAACCCAAGACAGAATTTCAGGATGTCACCTAACCTAAAGATGGAGTGGAATGAAATAAAGCCAATCTTCAGCTCATGGATTGAACTTCCACAGGTCTCCACCTGTTTGCTGTCTTTTTTTTTTTTTTTTTTTTTAAGCTTTCTCCTGGAAAAGGTCAGAAGACAGAAGCACGCCTGGCAATGCTTTGTTTGCCATTCCTTTAACCTCAAATATCATGCACTGCTGGGCTGTGTTAGTGTAAGGAACCAGGACTTATTTTGAAATCAGACAAGACATATTTGAGACCTGCCTCTACTAACAACTTAGCTGGGCAAGTCCCTAACCCACCTCAGTCTCAGCTTCTTCATCTCTTCAGTGGCTCTTGTGCAGAATAAATAAAATAGTCATTAAATGAACCTGACCCACCTCCTTCCCCTGGGGGTGGGGGGAGGGGTGCAGGGTACAGGGCACCACAAGCCGATATATTCTGGAGGGTATCCCACCTAACAGGCGCTCTTGAGGAAGATGTTATTATTATTATTATTATTATTATTATTGTTATTATTATTATTGATTTCAGAGAAGAAGGGAGAGGGAGAAAGATAAGAACATTAATAGGAACATTAATGATGAGAGAGAATCACTGACTGGCTGCCTCCTGTGCACCCCACACTGGGACTGATCCTGCAACTCGGGCATGTGCATCGAACCATGGCATCAAACCATGACCTCCCAGTTATAGTTGACACTCAACCACTGAGCCACACCAGCCAGGCTGTTAATTTCTGACCTTACCTCCCAATTACCAGGTACAGTCCAAGTCTATGTCTATTGCCACGGAGTAATTAACACCCTTTCATTCCAAAAACAGTATCCTAGTTCAGCTAAGGAATTATATGGTCACCTAGTAATACTATTGAGACATGAGAGACACCTTTGGCAGTCGGACATTAATACGTGGTCCCTTGTGAGAACCTTGATCTATTCACCTCTCATTTCTCAGCAACCCCAGAACTGTCTTGCGGCAGTTTCTCTGGAGGAAAAACTCATTTTTTTCCAAATTCCAGGGCTTTATCTCCTCCCCAGAGTCACCTAGGAAATTGCAAGTCCAATTCTGCAGGCCAGACTCTGGCAATTTTCAGAGAAGAATTTTAAATTGCCCTTAGATGTTTCCTCATGATCCTCCCCGCACAGCTGTGCCTCTGCCCACAGTAGACTCATCATAGACCAATTCCATGGGGAAAGCATATGGCAGGCTTTACATTGCCTTCATTTCCTTTGACTCAGGAAAAAAAATATATTTTTTTAAATTTTTTTTCCATGTCACTGAGTGAATTTAAGAGCTCCAGGGAAAGTTTTGCAAGATCCGTTTTTTGCAAATCAGGAAAGGGAAGACAGCAGATCACAATTTAGCCAACTCCCCAGATTCTTCAAGGAATTATTAAGATATATGATGATACCTCTTTTCTAAAGTCTACTGTAAATAATGGGCTGAATAATGTACCTTTTAGCCAACTGGGAATCGTAAAAAGGGAAGAGGGAATGGTGATCTTGGCACAAAAATAGGTATCACACTCAAACAGTTGGAGCAGAGTTTTCCAGAAAACATTTGCAAAGATACAGTTTAAGGAAACCATCAGAAAGAGTGCAGTCTCCCAGACAGGTAAGGTGAAGGAGCCATCACCACATCCAGGCTCAAGTGGGGACAAGGGGGCGCGCCATTCCTAGAACCCAGTGGGGAGCAGGGGCTTTCTACCGGAGCTGGTGC